AGCCACTTCAACTGGTCGGCAGGCTGGTGCAAGTGGCCGGCCGGCCACTTCCTTTTCCAGAATCTCAACTTTGCTGCAACAGAGATCAACAAAGGCATAACACTGCATTTACAAGGAAATGTGTGTGCAACTACTCTCCTTATCATTTCTCAAGCTCAAAGGAGTATAGTACTCGACTCTCAAGCCACCAATTACGCATCTCAATGCACGATGGCCAAAGAGTCAAACTCGCACAATGTTAGTGAATGCACAAACAACACATAAGAGCCTCCACCTCTATCATGCATGATCAAGAGGGTTGGCGACCAAGAAACGCAACACGTTTCATCACTTTGAGTATGAAACGTGTCACATTCCTTGTGTTTGGATTAACGTCCGATCCAAACACAATGTAATGCAAACAAGATGCTTATCTTTCAATGCTAAAGTGGCATGCACAAGACTCTATCATGTAAGCAAATCATGCATTGAATGTTTAGTAGCTAAGGCATCAAAGCTAGTGAAGTGTATTACACATGAGGCATGCACTATCAATCTCAAATGGTCAAACCACATATGGGCAAATCCATGATGCTCCAAAACAGTGGCCAATACACACCAAAACTTAGGCACAAAAATCAAGGAACACATGCTCATTCGTTTGCCCGCAAGCAAGGCACAAAGCTTAATTTTCAAACACATCGAAAGAATGACATATATGAGAGCATGATAGAGGTACAAGCACTGAAATCATATGCCAAATGATGACATATCATGCAAACAACACAGGTATAGCATGTTAGGATCCTTAAGTATTAAAGCTAGTGAAGTACATAACACTAGGGCTATACAATACAATGCTCAATGGACTAAACCAGCCCTAAACAGACCTCATACATGCCAAGACAGTGGCCAAAATGCTCTGAAATGATAGCATGAAAGGCAAGCAAATGATGTTCATGCATTGACTCATCAACAAGGCATAAGGGCACAACTCTTAAACACAATTAAAAAGTGATAAACATGAGAGTATGACAAGGCTATATGCTCTGAAATTATGTGTTTAATGATGCCATATCACATAAACATCATAAATAAGGCATGGTAAAAGGCCCAAAGCACAAGGCTAATAAAGGGCACTACACAAGAGGCATGCAATACATAGTACAAACAACCAAACCAGCTTTGGACAGAGCTTAATTAGGCCAAAATAAAGACCAAAACATGCTGAAATGGAAGTCCAAAAGCCTAGACAAGCATGCATACGTATTGGCTCACAAACAAGACATAAGGCACAACTCACAAGAGCTATTAAAGGGTGGAATATGTGAGAGTGTGACTATGCTATATACACTGAAATCATGTGAGAAATGAGGCTAAGGCATGCAATCACCATAAATAAAGCATGCAAGAGGCTTTGAAACTCAAAGCTAGTCAAGGCCCTTACACTACAACCATACAAGGCAAGCCTCACATGGCCAAGACCACTCAAAACAGAGCTAAGGCATGCTAAAATAATAGCTAAAACATGCTGAGATAGAGCTAACACAAGCTAGGATTAGACGCATAAAGCATGATGCATGTTAGGCCTACAAATAGGATTGTACTACAAGTACAAAAACCAAGCAAGAGGTAACCCCACCAACCAAAATCAGAGTTAAAGCATGTCAAAATAACACAAAAAACATGCTGGAGTTAGACTAAAGCATGCTAGAAAGATGAGCTAAAGCATTAAGCATACAAGGCTAGTTAGCAAGAATTACACTACAAGTGTAAGAAGCAAGCGACCAATGACCAAACCAACCAAAAACAGAGCTATGGCAGGTCCAACAAGTCACAAAAACATGCTTGAGCTAGGTCATAAAAGAGTAGAAAAGCATGCTTAAGTATGAGGCCAACAAGGCATACAAGCAAGACAAAAGGAGAGAGGGACCACCCCCTCCTATTTTGGACCACAAGGGAAACTTTTTACCACTGAAATTCCTCTGAGTTTCAGTGGTAAAAAGGCCAAGCAAGGGAAGAATCAAAAGCTTAGAGAGTTGGCTCAAGAGGCTTAACAAGCCAAAGAGCAAAAGAGGGAGACCACCCCTCTAACCCCAGAAGGTTCAAACCAACATTATAAAGCCTTAAAATCAGAGTTACTGAAAGGCTAAAATCAGCCTCAAAGTAGCATGCAAAGGTGGGATAACACTTAATCAAAACAAAGCTTTAAAAGGAGTATATGCTTACCATTGAAGAACAATGGCAAGACAACAACTTCAGCCACAATCTTGGACCAAAACCAATGCTAAGACCTCGAAACAAGCTCCAAGGGACCTCAGCTCCAAAGTGAAGGTGTTTGACTAGGTGTTTGTATGTAAAAGCATAAAGAAACAATACTTCTAAGCATAATAGCACAATATAGAGAGAGAGTGTGAGAATTCTAGAGAGAGAGGAAGATTTTTTAGCTCTGAAAAATCTGAATCCTTCTTAAGGGGGAGGAAGCTCCCCTTATATAGAGCAAACAAACCAAAAGGCTTGCTCCATCTCTCTATACACGTGTATGGAGGATGAATTCAGTGAGCCACAGCTGGCTCAAAAGATCTAAAAATATCTAAAAAGAAGAAAAAGTGGCTGCCGGCCAGTTAAGGTGGCCGGCCGGCCGGCCACTTAAAGTGGCCGGCAGATGCCAAAAGTGGCCGGCAGCCCTTCCTCTCCCTCAAGCAAAGAGGCAACAAGATTTGGCCCAAAAACCAAGGCCAAAACACAAAGTGTTAAGAGGCTCAAAGACAAGACACTCAGCCGAGACCTTCGGACACTCGAAACAAGCACAAACATACGCAATCATCGCGTGCACAAACGATGACGTCTGAGTCTTAAGGTCGGTCAAAAATGGGGTGTCTACAGTATCACTATTGAAAAGTCTGAAATTAAAGTGACACAAGTCCCAAAGTATAAAAACTATGAGTTTAATTCACCCTTTTTTACCTAACGTTTTGGGAAATGTTTTTTTAAGAGATATTTAGCCAAAAGTCCTGCAACATAATTTTCTAATAATAAAAGAAAAATTCATTAATTTTTAATATATAAAATCCTTCGAAATAGATTCCTCAAACGTAAACCAAGTTTGAACTATCTCTTACTATGTGGGTGTTTGGAAAATGAGTTTTTTTGTAAATTTTTTTAGTTGTAGGATATTATTAGAGAAAAAAAAAATTGTGTTTGGGAAGGTAGTTGGGTTTTTTGTGGTTAGATGTGATATTTGTGAGATAAAAAGTGAAATGATTATGGAGTTTGATGTGATATTTTGTTTGGATTTATTTTATTTGATTTTGTAACTAATTTGTCTTTTAGTGAAAAAAAACCAAAAACCAAACTTTCCAAACACCCCGACTTAATTGATTTGTATCAATTGGGAGAGATTTAAAAAAAAAAAAAAGGAGTGCAGAGATGATACGAGCCTCCAATTTGATCTTCATCCCTCAGTCACCATTGTTATAATTGATGTGATATTTGTCCCTTGCTATTATCACCGTTGATCTTCTTGTGGCGAGTCATATAGTCTCCATTGTTCATAGAACAAATAAAGGGAGTATACTTGTCTCTCCCATTTTACTCCCACAAGTAAACAAATAAATTATGTTTCTCAATAAAAATTTTATTGTCTGAAAACTTTTTTATCTTTTTTATCTAATTAATGAAATTGGATTTTAAAACAAGTTCATATGCACTTTAGAAATATTTAGGAGCATTCAAAAGTATTTCATTAATTTTAGAGCAAGTTGATTTTTTTTAATCAATTTTGAATCTAGTTGATTTGATTCTAATATTTAAAATGATAAGAAATTTAATATGAAAAATCAGAGATATTTTGATAATTGTGATGATTATTCATGGCAATAATAATACCAGCTTTATGTTGAAGGTTAATATAAATTTTTTTATATTTAACTAGTAAAATTTCACTTGTATGAATTTGATATTTTATTTTTTTTATTTTTTTATCGAATCAATGAAGTTGAATTTTTGAAAACTGAATGTTAAACATATATTTAGAACATTCACAAATAATTTCAGAATTGGAGTAAGTTGATTTTTTTTAACAATTTTTTTGTCTAATTTATTTGATTATTATATTTAGCTTAAAAAATAATTGATATGAAAAATCAAAAGTACCGTGATCATTTATTAATAAATAAAAATTAATTAAATAACTTAATAGAAAAATTAATAAAAACAAAATTAATGAACTTATAGACTTATTCAACAATTATTTCATCATTAACTTCTTCAAAAAAATCAGGATCACCTAATTCAGACAAATAAAAATGTGAAAAAATCAGTTTTTTAAATTCAATTTTCTAAAAACTAAATTTTTTATTTTTCATATTTTTTTTGTTTTTAGTAAATATTTTTAAAATTTTAAGTAATTTTTTTATTTTTTTAAATACATCTTACTTAAATGTATCTAAATAATAAAATATTTATAAAAAAATATTTTAAAAAATTAATAAATATACAAAAATACAAAAAATATATTGAATTTTCATTTGTTTTTTTATATATATATTTTTAGCATTCAGTGAATTTATTTTAAAAAAAAATTCACGAATATTATACTTCTTAAGTAAGTTTATATTAAGTGTATCTAAAAATTTTAAAAATTGCTTAAAATATTAAAAATATTCAGTAAAAACAAAAAAAACGAAAAATAAAAAAGTAGAATTTTCTGAAAAATGAATTCTGAAAACTGAAAAAAAAAAAAAAAAATACTAAAAATTGCAATTCTTGACCCTTCTTTTATTACACAAATAGACATACAAGGCAAAGTTATAGGAGAAGCAAAAGAAAACCGTTGCCTCAACTCAACTGCTGAAACCTTTATCCCAATATTTGAGTGGCAACATAAATTCATTAAAAAAAATAAAAAAATAAAATTCAATTAACCATTAAAGGCCAAGTTCTCGATTATGCTTAAAAGTAATCAGTAAGGACAGCAGGGATAAACTTGCTTTGAAAATAAAATGGAAAACAAGGTCAGCTGAATCCAAAACAATTCCATTTATCCATCATCTCCAAAATTCCAGAATCCAAACATATTTACCATGGTGTAGTGTTCGTATATACAATGAACCAAGATTGAAATAAATTGTGTTTATATTTATGAGCTCAAGACTATTTATATACAGTTAAAAACTGAACGGTACGTGTGCGGTAATAAAAATCAAAACTCAATACCACTATTTAACTGAACAGAGAAGGAAGACCTGCCGACATTGCTGAGAGGAGTTTCGACTCTCAGGACTATCCCCGAATTGCCAACATTTCCATTCCACTTCGATCTGCCAAGCTGAATTTTGGACAAGAAAAGAAGATAGACACTAGTCAAAAACCTCACTACTAATTAATTTACAGATTGCAATTTTTAGAGGTGATAAACTAAATAAATAAATAAATAAAAGAACGAAAAAAGAAGGGATGCTAATATGCTATCCAGTTGAGGACCAACACAAGTGAAACAACCAAGGCTTCTAACAAGAACTAATGAGAAGTTGCTGCATGAAAATTTTATAGAACCAACTGGGGCTAGTAGAACTTCTGCATCTCACTAGGAGATCAAGGATTTGAGTCTTGCAAAACTCCGCTCTCCAGCCCTCAATGTACTCCAAAAGAGAAAAATGTCCGAGTGCACATTGAGTATGAAATATGCAGGATTACCGTATCAAGCACTTTCAGGCAGCATTTGTTCATTGGATTTTTTTAGTGAACCAAACGTGTAAATGGATATTTTGATGGAATAATCATTCCGTTCACTTTATTCCAATGAACCAAACACTACATTAGTTCACAAGAAATGAAGTTCAGCACTACAACTGTAACTGGGACCCATTGATTTGTAATCACCAAAACCTACTTCAACCTGCCAGGTAACTATCATTCCAGGCAATGCATGTAACTACGGTATCACAGGCTCATTGAAGTGATTAATCCTCCATATATTTCTCCACTTAGCAAACACATGGGTCTACATACTATGCCTTTGCCCAAAACAAGTGTATGATCTCTCTTCTTACTGTGCAAGAGCACCTTAGAAAACACTAGATTAGACCACGGCTGGAGCATTTTTTACTAGATCATGCCCACTGATGAATAGCAGGTGCAAGTATTAAAACCCAAAATGGCATTGAGACAAGACCCTAGTTATGAGATCATCTCAACCATCTAGGGGAAGTACATGATCAGCATTCTACAGCATTTATATCAATTTGGATGCAACAGTGGCAAAGATGTTTAGAGGTACAGAAATAACTTACAGATAGTGATGCAAATGCAGAAGGATGTGACATGAAAGCACAACCACAAATCAGACTCAACTCCTCGTTCACAGAATGAATTAGTTCAGCCTGTAACCCAGGATTGCTTCCACCAAATGTTGGGCATACACTGGCAGGGTACAAAGATGAAAGAAAAATTAGTGAACTATGAACATAATGTAGCACATAAAATGTAGACCATGCCAAAAAGACAAAAAGACAAAAAAAAAAAATCACAAACAAAGGAGAAGAACATAGCACCCACAGGCCATTCAAGTTTTGAATGTGCAAGACAAAGTGTTTGCGGGGCTTATTTCCATATAACTGGACTGGCTTGGAGTAGAGTAAAGCAAAAATTAAAATTGTAGCAGAGGATTGAAATCATAACTAGTAACTTCCAGAATTACAGGAAGCTCATAACCAAAAATTTTTACAACTATACTAGAAACCCAATGGCCACTTCCACTAAATATCATCACTATATCAAGTTACAATTCACATAAACAAAGAAAGCACTCTTACCTGAATTGTATGGTTGGCCTCACCATAAGACCAGATCTCTTCCAAGCTAAAGCTTGAGCAAGACCCATTGTGAATGATTTGTCAGGCCACTGTACAGTTGGTGTGATGCGTGTTCCCCATTTGTTCTGCAAACCAATGTAAACCATTAGTGTTATCTTCATGTAAAAATAGAATCCAATTAGATCTATTCTGTTATAGCATATTACAGTCTTGGTGGCTTGCCTTGCAAGAGAAACTGAACTTCATCTCGCCTGGATATTGGCCTTGAGCTTGAAGCAGGCCACCACAAAAAGGTAAGAACGTACTAGTGGATATGCCCTCACCAGACACATAGGTTAACTGACCATTTGGAAACTGCAAATCCATGAATGACTGGAGGGGGAAAAAAAAGGAAGAGAAGAACTTAAGTTAGACAATCCACCTTAGTATGTTTGATGTTACTTTAAAATTTGGCTGTGGCAGATGATGATGGTATGATGGAAAAACAAATCTCTACATAGCCCAAACAATTATGTTGATGACATATGTGGAAGATCAAGCAAAGGGGATTGAATTTTAGCAAATAGCACTTAAAGATGCAGAATGTACAGTGATCAAAGTCCTACTTATTTTGGGCAACATATTAACGTTTATCATGTTTGGGTACCAAGAAAGTTCAAAAGGAGAGAGAGTCAAATATATTACCAACTGGACAACAAAATATGTATTTGCATGTGTGCAAGAAATGTATGTTCCCATGGTCATCTGTATTGTTGCTGGAGCAAAGTTCATATTGGGCCCAATGTTTCTTGACCTGTTGTAACATCATCTAGATTGTATACATGATTATGAGGTTCTGGGTTCTTGCCATTACATGGTGGAATCTCCCATCTGCACCTTTTTTCTGCAAGTCTTCCTATGAGAGAGAGCTGCTGGATATCATATTGGAGCAAATCCGATGTGTACTATCCATGAAGAATGGATACTCCGAAAATATTTTTGAATTAGTACCAGGTACTTACCTAGTACATGTATGCATATTGGGTGCGCTAAAAACTTTGGATACCGCACGTGTCGCGTATGGTTTATATACCGGATGGGTACATTGGGGCATCAATGTTTCACCCATATATTGAGAATACCGGTTTTAAATTGTATTATAGTGGTAAGAATAGACGCAGGAATAGGGTAGGAATCATAATTGCCAAGAGTCTTGTGATTAGGAAAGGAGATTGGATTATGCTAGTTAAACTAGTTATTGGAAGGAACATAGTGAACGTTATTAGTGCATACGCCCCTCAAGTAGGATTGGATGATCAAACTAAAAAGGATTTTTAGGAGCAAATGGATGACATCTTATAGGAGATACCTGTACGAGAGAACATGGTTATAGGTGGAGATTTTAATGGCCATATAGGCATAGACAAACTAGGCTATAAAAGGATATATGGTGGATACGGTTTTGGTGGCAGAAATGAGGCTGGAAAGAGTATCTTAGATTTTGCGTTAGCTTCTGACCTGGTAGTGGCTAATACTATGTATAAGAAGAGGGAGAAGCATTTGATAACCTTTAAGAGTGAGTCCATTAAGAGCCAAATAGATTACTTCTTAGTGAGAAAAATAGACCGCCTAAAATGCAATGATTGTAAGGTGATTCCTAGAGAGAGTCTGGCCTCTCCACATAGGATTTTGATACTAGATTTATGTTTTAGAAGGCAATACCAAGTTAGGAAGGATGGTTGGCGTCGTAGGATGAGATGGTGGGACCTAAAAAGGGATAAACTACAAATATTTAAGAATAGAATGAATAAAGAAGGCACTTGGGACTTGGAAGATGATGCTAACACTATGTGGAACTCGATGGCTAATTGTATGAGGAGAATCTCAAGGGAAGTGCTTGGAAAGTCAAAAACAACGAGACCCAGCTCTACGGAAACTTGGTAGCGGAGGGAAGAGGTTCAAGCGGTAGTTAAGGCAAAAAAAAAGTACTTTAAAAAGTGACAGAAGGATAGAACTGAGGAAAACCTTAAGAGCTATAGATTGGCTAATAAGGAGGTCAAGAAAGTAGTGAGAGAGGTTAAGTTGAAAGCTTATGATGACCTATACACTAAACTAGATAGTAAGAAGGGAGAGAAGAGGGTATACAAACTTGCTAAGATACGGGAGAGAAAAACAAGAGATTTTAATCAAGTTAAGTGCATCAAGAGTGAAGATTCTAAGATATTGGTGAAGGATGAAGAGATTAAGAAAAGATGGAAGAACTATTTTGAGAAACTATTAAATGAGGAACATGGAGGTACGGCAATAAGGGAAGAAATAATCAATAATACGATAAACCAAGGCTATAGGTTCTATCGCAAGATTAGGAACTTTGAAGTGGATATTGCACTTAAGAAGATGAAATCAAATAAGGCTTTAGAACCCGATGATATCCCTATTGAAGCTTCAAAGTGTTTGGGTAAAAAAAGGATTGCTTGGTTGCCTAGGTTGTTTAGCAAAATTTTGTTGACTAGGAACATGCCAGATGAGTGGCGGAAGAGTATTTTAGTGCCAGTCTACAAGAATAAAGATGATGTCCAGAATTGAAACAATTATAAAGGAATCAAGCTAATGTGTCATATAATAAAAGTGTGGTAAAGGGTGATGGAACGCCGATTACGAGATATAACAGAGGTGTCAGAGAATAAGCGCAGATGATATCAAGCTAACGTGCCATGGTGTATGCTTTTTGTAGACGATATCGTGCTAATGGATGAGACAAAAGAAAGAGATCACACAAAGTTAGAGATTTGGAGAAAAGCTCTTGAATCTAAAGGATTCCGGATAAGCAGAATTAAGATAGAGTACATGGAGTGTAAATAATAACAGTAACAATGAACGCAGAGGAGAAATGAAGATTGAGAACCAAAAACTGCCTAAGAGTGAACATTTTCGTTATTTAGGGTCGATTATCACAATAGTGGGGAGATTGATGCGGATGTGGCCAATAGGATTAAGACTAGATTGTATAAGTGGAGAAGTGCATCTGGGGTACTGTGCGATAAACGAATACTCACTAGACTAAAAGATAAGTTCTATAGGACGGCTATTAGACCAGCGATGTTGTATGGGACGGAGTGTTGGGCAACCAAGAAATAACATGTAGATAAGATGAGTGTAGCTGAGGTGAGGATACTAAGATAGATGTGTGGCAAAACTAAACAAGACAGAATTAGGAATGAGTGTATCCGAGAATGGGTAGGAATAGCAGCGATAGAAGATAAATTGAGAGAGAATCGATTGAGATGTCATATTCAACGGAGATCAACAGAAGCAGTAGTGAAGAGATGCGATGCTGTAACGGTAGATGGAAGTGTTAGGGGACGGGATAGGCCTAGATTATCGTTGGCTAGCATAATAAATAGAGATATGGATCTACTTAATTTAACTAACGAAATGGCCTTTGATAAGGTCGTGTGGAGAAGAAGGATTTACGTAGCCGACCCCATTTGATGGGACTTAAGGCTTCTTTTCGTTTGGTCTGGTCATGCTTTGCCCATATGCCCAAGTAGATTCGCACTTTGATGTTCCATCATTTCATAGCAAGGCTTGTGAGAGAGTCACTTTTGTCACTCTGGATGATCATAATAATAGAAATGCTACATGGATGTATATCATTCTCAGCCAAGGTTGGCTCCCTTCCTCTGTGGAAGAGAATGGACATATTGCTTACAAGTCACAACCCTTACAAGGTTTGTCAGCAATTCAACCTTAACCAAGATGTAATTGTTGGCCCCATGGCTCCTTAAGATGTGGATTGGGTCTTCAGGAGCTGGGAGCCAGAGCCAAATAATCCTTCAAAACTCATGTATACCATGCCGAGATGAGGTGCATTATACCCCAGAAATGCCAAAGTATTGGGATTGCATCATCATGGGTGTCCAAATTTGTAGATGGTGATACCTCAAAAATCAACATTTAGGAGAATAGTAAGTAAATGAGGACAAGACAAAAAGGTGAGTATGAGAGGTGGTGGTTAAGGAAGCGTTGAGGCATCCCCTCTAGAAAAATAAATAAAAGATTAAAAAAAAAAAACCAGTCACATTTTTTGTTCTTCTAAGTATCTTTGCCCCTCCCTATCCCATTATTTCATAATCGACATTCTTACCTTTCCCATAGTTCTTTTCTTTCTTTCCCTTTTTTTTTTTTCCGATGAGTTTTTCCCATAGTTATTTAATGACACTCATACAATTGCACAAACATCCCTCCTATCTAACATACACATAATCCAAATTAAATGGAAGATAACCAAATGTGGCTATATGAAATAAATTTTAGGGGCTGATTGGGGGAATTCTAGCAGCCAAACAGTAATAACCATTTGATGAAATATAACTAGCTATGCACCCTGGTAATTTCCAAGCATAACAATAGCAACCAATTCCTTTCATTATGAAGATTTGGCAGTTTGACTAGATACTGAAAGCATCCTTAAAGACCAAACTGACGGTCCACACAGGTTTATAACTAATAGAGTAATTCCATTAAATTCATATTTCTCTCAATACTTGCTTTTACTTGCAGTAGGACTTCTACTAATGAATACATGTGACATCCACTAATTTGTCCAATAAATACTTATGCATTATTGATATGATTAGAAAAGCACAATATTTATAGTATTCCTGGGGGTGAGAGTCTTACTCTTTCATTGAGAAAATAAGGTCTCACTACCAACAAAAATGGACATAATAATGTAGCCCCAATAATTTTTGGGGGGTATAATGACCCCTCCTCTTGACACTAACATCGACAACTTCTGAAGGATCATTCAACACTGGCTGCCATCTCCGTCCAGCAACAAAATGGCATTTGAAGACCTAGTCCACATCTTGAGGAGCCAATAGGCAAGCACATACATCTTTGTTAAGATCGAATTAATCACAAAGCTCCAATAAGGTACTACGAGGTGTTCGTGAGAAGAGGAATGAATTTTTGGAAATAATGGATAAAGCCTAAAACCATGGGCGATTGTTTTTGTTGCTTGCTTGGGATTCTTTTCTTTATTGGTGCTTTCCTTACTGGTGATTGTATCTCCTATTTATTTGAGGGTCTCATTTATGAGTCCCCAACAGTGAATTTCTTCCCTTCTCCCATAGACGTAAGCATTGCCAAACCACGTTAATTCTTTCTTGTGTGATTGTGTTAGTTTCTTCAAGAAGGCTATCACAGTCGGGTGTGGTGCGAAGCTGAACTGTTGTTGAACCCTTCAAGGTTGGGAGCAATAGGCCTAAATCCATTCCCACCCACAAAGGTATGAAACAATTTCATAACATAATCCCACCTGTACGGATTTATTAGTAAATATAATTTCCTAACACACTTTGAAACCATAATTTTACCCCAACCTCCCCATTTCATCTTTGTCGACGTCAGAGAAGAACAATGTGGCAAACATTGAAGAATTATCAAGTTAAAAAGTGTTCTACTCTGCAATACTTGTGGATGGGTGGATGGTAATGAAGTCAGAGTAAAACCTTCTAGAAAGATGGCGAGCACTGAGATGACAGAAGACCACCAAAGGTGGAGGAGAAAGTCAAGGCAATCCTAGGGGAGAGAGAGGAGTGTAGTGAAGATGTTGCTCTTACCAGATATAAATAAGGAAAAAACAAGGATAATTCAACGTACTTATGAAGACATTCTTATATAGGGAATCAAACCACGGGAGACAACTACGCCAAGGACAAGTGGTGCTTACCCCTTGGTTCGACAATCTAGAGATTTTTACCAATCCACTGTGCTCATAACAAGCCTTGGACATTGTATCATGGGATGCCAATGCATAGGTATGATAAGCCTAAGGGTTGTGCTATGCAAGGCAATCTTGACGATCCCTTAACTCTGACCTCCAAGCCACAAGTCCTCCAGTGATCCCGAACAAAGATTCCTAGGCCCTACTCCTGGCTTAGGTGATCATGGTGGTAATGGAGATCCCTTCAATATACAAGAGATAACTCATTGACTGGAGAGGGGCGAGGCATAGAGGGCTCATGCATTGCGAGGAATTGCTTGGTCGAGCCATGGAGATGTCAAACCTTATCACTATAGGGTGGAGATGGTGTGGCCAAGCAATGCTCTACGCCACGCCTCAAGATACCTTACACCTTGCCTGAGCAAAGATATATTCAAGATGTTATAAGCTCGTTTCTAGACAACATGGCTTGAGACTAAGGTGCCAAGAGCATTAACTAGCCATGTTTCCATACTTGATGGTTTATGCTAGGCCCACAATCCTAATAACCAATCTTGGAGATGACATGGTGTCAGGATGACTCACCACTTGGAGTGCTCTTTGTCCAAATTGGAGATGCCGTGGTGTTAGCAAAGCATGCATTGTGGCAATGGTCATATAGATACCCAGAACGCTCATCATGACTTCTCAATTCATCAGTAGAATCTCAAAATTATGATACATTTAAGTGAAAGTAGAAATAGTATATAAAGTGATGAAAGAAAGCAATAAAACTAGCCATATCCTACTAGTGTAATTTAAAAATATATATATGTGATCGATCAATGTTTCAAACTTACAAATGCCAAAGGATTGAGACAGATCATTGACATCAAGAGCCACCTTCTATGTTTAGACCACACAGCTGGACAAAGAGAGTGCATTCCATTCTGCCAAACAAAAAAAATAATAATACATGCATGTCATCAGAAGGGATAAAAGCATAGAGGCATAAATAATTGTAAGGATCCAGATCAAGAAAGTTAGATGAGGATAACAATGCTACACTACCAAACTAAAATGAAAGAGAAGGCTAATTGTTTTTACATGTTTCTTTATAATATTGATCTATATCTCATAATATGGCAACTTTTAATACATTTCACGTTTTTTTTTTTTTTTATTAAAAAAAAAAAAACTTTCATACACTTCTAGAAGTTTGTATTCGGTCCACCCTCCCAACACCTCACATTTGTGACTTTTTCAGATGTCAGTAAGCATAACACTTTTTAAAAAGTGAATGGAGAAGAAAAGTGACGTGGGCAGACCGTAGACTCTTTGGGAATCATGGTAGACACCAAGATGGCACAAGACCATTGTAGGTGGAGAGGGAGAAAGCTTTAGCATCCTTAAAGCAGAGGGAGAGAGTGGTAGTAAGATAGAAGCCTCAAAGGAGCTCTCTGTTATGCATGGAGGAGCCATTGTGTAGGAAGAAGACTTCTTTTATAGGAGGGTTAGACCAGGGGAGGCAGCTCACCCTCGCATGAGGTTACCTACTCAAAAACAACGCCTTGAACCCATAACAGAGGATACATGACAATCCCGATCTCTGTTTATTTCTTATCCTTTCTTTGTTTTTCTTTTTATTTTTTCCCCTTTGATGGTGTTGATATTTTTGTGCATGTGTAGAGAGCAAAGGGGAACATATTAGATACTTTTTGGAATTACAAGCATACAATTAAATTAACTGAAGCCCAAGAGGGAGATGCTTGCTAAAGCAGCTTCAGTTACAAATGAATGGCTATGGGATGAAACGTAATAATTTTTGCTGCCCTTTTCCAATGTTGGAAATTTAACTTCCTTTCAGTACCATAAAAAAAAATGCAGTCAATAATTAATCCAGCTGCAAAACAATACAAGAAATAGTTCTGAAGTTGTTGTTCAGTGATGGCCAAAGAGGGAGAAAATAATGGAAAAGTGACAACCTTATATTTGTAGGAAGCAATGTTTGTTAGTTTTTGGGCTGGTAAGGAAGATGTTGCCATTATTTATATGTAAAACTTACCAGGCAATTTAACCCACAAAAACTAAGGAGAGAGTTGAAGGGGAAGCTTCCCAACAACATCCCACCAAATTATAAGAACTCCAGGTCAATTGTACTGGGTTTTTTTCACAATGCTGCAACTTTTCCAAATAGATAATGATCATATTCATTGATATTAAAAACGATAAAAATTAATCATTCATGAGAAAGGGGAAAAGGACAAAAACCCTCTTTGACACAGAACTCAGAACAATGTTCAAAGCACAAGCATGCCAAGGAACATATGCTAAGGAAACATTTCTACAAACTAAGCATAAAACAACATCCATAAGCTTAACCATCTATGCCACTCCCGCTATAAACAACTGAAGTTTCGCAAATAGCTCACACTAGGTTGATTGTAAATTGTGCATACCTTCCTATCATACCCATACCAAAGCAAGTGTTGTTTTGACAGGTGAACTGGCAGAAGAAGTGTTGAGTCACGAACAAACAGTACAGGTCCAAGCTGGACAAGGAAGAGGGAAGAATTCTCAGTTCCTGATGTAGAACTGCCATGTGATGCCTCTACTCTCCACAAGTCTCCCCTTGCAACCAAAGAACCTTCCACATCATGCGTCCTACTGTCATATGTAGACGTAACATTAATTGTCCCCTGCATTCAAAAAAATTAAATGAAGTATAAAAAATAAAAAAAATAAAAAAAAAAAGAAAGAAGAAAGAAAGAAAAAGACAGATTACGATCTGCAAGATGTTCTTCACGTAAAACTAGGAATCATTTCATCCAAGGATGCATCCTACACGCTTAAATGCGCAAGAGGCAGACAAGGAATAATTTTATTTTTTATTTTTGCATGTTTTAATCTTAAATGCGCAAGAGGCAGACAAGGAATAATTTTATTTTTTATTTTTGCATGTTTTAATGACAAAGATAAGCACAAGACCAAACCATACGTATAATTATCCTATTACATGAACAATGGAGTGCAGGATACAATTTTCCTCCTTTCTTCTTCTTCTTCTCCTTCTTCTTCTTCTTCTTCTTCTTCTTCTTCCTTTTTTTTTTTTTTTTTTTTTTTTTTTTTTTGTAAGAGGTAAGTGAACCTCTCTATCTAGTAAATTACTAAAGACAAACAATTAGAAAAAGAAAAAATAATGAAAAGCAGAAAAGGAAAAAGGAAAAGAAGAATAATTCATGTATTTGCATTGTTTACCCCAAAGGTTAATACCAAAAATTGTACTCCAATGGCAAATGAAAGAAAATAAAAATAAGAATAAAAACGAACGGTAAGATACCATAAATATCCTATACAAAGGCCCCATGAAAATTGAAAAGCAAAGGTTAACAAAAACCCCATGAAAAATATCATTACATGAGATTAAGCATCAATACTTTAATAAAGTGCTTGTTTATATTATACATATAACATTAATGAAGTGTTTTTAACAGAGCACTTTCACCCAAAATTGTTTACTTCGACAATCCAAATTGTCAAATATAACCCAACTTCTAAACACTGTCATTGCATGTACAAAATGTTCCATCACTTGCATCCAGAATACCACTTTAAAGGCAATCTTGAAACTTCATGTTTTCTACAGAATGGTTAATGAAGATAAAACTAAAAGTATTATGGGAAGATGGCAACAAAGTGAAATGAGATTCAATCCGGGTAGGTATGCAAAGGAATAGACAGTACAACAACTGGCAGGAAAAGAAACCAACCACAATTTATCTGGCAGTTTGTTCTAAGCAGTCAAAGTTGTCTCAAGTTAGACCTTCCATCCCTTCTTTAATATTATTGCAAATGAACCATTATCTCACACCGTCATGTCATTAAAATAAATGCTATCATAGTTTATAGAAATGTAGTATAATATTGTAATTTTGTAAAACTATCACTGCCACAAGGAAACATGATTTATACAATTTACCCCTCAAGGAGCCAAAACCAAGATAAAAATCACAATCTTGAATTGAAAAAGACATAGAAATTTGGTATTGAATTGGGTTTCTCTATTTGTGGTTTTAATTTTGAATCCACCAATCCCCTAAAGTCCATGCTTAATGGTTCAAAAAAAAAAAAAAACAAAAACAAAAACAAAAGCGAAACCAAAACCAAAACCAAAACCAAACAACAAACTGGCCCAAGATGCACAGTTGCACTCAGTTTGATGCTTGGTTTCACTTTTCAAAAAACACTTTTCAGAAAATTTTACTTTCTTATTTTTCGTATTTTTTTGTTTTTACTGATTTTTTTTAATATTTTAAGCAATATACCCAGAACGAGAAGACCCTTTCTTAGAGGGGGCTCAAGGACAATGACGTTGAAGATGACCGGGAGCAGTCTTACGGCAAGTAAAGCATTCGCGAACCTGGCACTGAACAAAAGAATGAGTAGCTAGAAGGCCACGGTTAGAACAATACTGGCATGAACTAGCGGGCTGTGAAGATGAGGAACTCTGTAAGGATGGCGTAGCAAGAACAGAATCCATATGCTGAGATTTAAGAGTCCCAAATAGAGACTCCTCTAATAATAGTTTAGTAATGGCTTGCTCTAAAGTGGACAAGGGCAAACGATGGAGCAATAAAGCACGTACGGGCTCAAAAGTACTATAAAGAGCCATAAGGAACTATAATAGTCGCTGATGATTCCGATAAGTAATAAACAACTGTTCATCCTCAGAATATGCCCATACAAGCTTAGAAAGAGCTAGCTGGTCCCAAACAGACGACATCTGGGATAAGAATTCATTGATAGACTAATTGGGTGCCTGGCACATGTGATGAAGAGTCTACAATAGTTGATATTGATGAGCATGGCCAGTGGTCTGATAACGGTCCCTCAAGAAATCCCAAATTGCTTTGGCAGCGGAAGTAATTTGAGCATCATTTTGGAACCGGCCAAACTGGAGATGAATGGAGGGAACTGAGGTAGCTTGGAACGAGGTGATAATTTGATAATTCTTACTTTTTCATTTGTGAATATGGTCATCGAATGCAAAGTCAGTCTCATCCGCTTTCTGGTTGGGTTTGGGAAGAGCACCAGTAATGATGCACCAAAGGTGTTTCCTTTTGATGAAGCTAGAGAGAGCTTGGGCCCAACTAACATAATTTGACCCATGAAGGATAACAGAAACAGAGTGGATGTGCTCGGTATGATCCATAATGCTCAAACAGTGCAAAAAAAAGAAGATGGTGCTTTTTAGAGGCTGATTTTGCCATAACAGAACACACCAGTGGATTCAAGAGACTGAAAATAAGTGGGATAGGGTCTGAACAGGCCAAAAACACGACCAAAAAGGTAGTAAAGCGGCTGGTCAAAGTTATTTGACCAAAAAAGGAATACCAACACTAGGGCTGACGTCACAGCAAAGAAGATGACGTTACAGCAAAGAAGCTGACGTTAGAAACGCGTAGCGCACATTAGCAGAGGCGCGCGGCGCACAATAGCAAGAAACAGCAGCGGCGCATAGTCAACTAGGGCTGACGTTAGTGATGACGTCAGAACATGAGACTCACGTTAGCAGGTGAGGCCGTGGCGCAAGATAGCTTGTGATTGGAGTAGAGACGCGTGAATGCGCGTAGGAGACGGCATAACGCGTGCCTAATCTTCTGGCGGCGCGTTTGGTGACACGTGGAGATGATTCAGATGGCGTTGGCTTCGTCTTGATGAGACAAAGATGATCGTATAGTCCAATCGTTGAAACAAGAAATGACGAGATACGCAAAAACCAACATGAGAATGAATCAATCTGCCAGAGAAGAAAGAAGAGAAAAAAAAGGTGATGAGGATGATGAGGAGGCTAGAAGAAAACCCTAGGCTCTGATACCATGTTAGAATAATAGAGAAAGAGGAAAATATTATGTATTGTATATATTCAATCCATCAATTACAATAGGTGAAGCCTGTATGTATAGGCCAAGAAACCTAGGTGTATAGGAAACCTAGGTGTACAAGAATACAAGAGTCCTAAGTATAATAGGAATAGATAACAATTAACAATACAGAAACTGATGTTACCGTTACTTGTACTGGTGGTAGAAATTAGAGAAATCAACAACTAAATCGTTGATGACAAACATGTGAGGGAGAGGAGTGATTGTAGTGCGCTTAGAAGTGTCTGGATCAATGGGCTTGAGACATGCTCCCATCTATGTTCATAGCACATGACCCACATATCCCTTCCCTTCATGACATCCTATATGTCAATGCTGAATCAACCTCTGCTTTTATCTTCTGTAGCACATTCAATTTCCAAAACACAATTCATTCTATTTACCGTGAAATTGTGCTCCAAATTGTATCCCGAAAATGAAATGAATGGTGTAAATTTAAAATTGATAAATATAAATCACGTTAAGAATGATTGTAATCTATAGATACACTCTTCTAGATACTTTTTATGGTATTGCTTTCTGGGTACTTTTTATGGTTGTTCCATCCACACCAAGGAATGAGGCAAGTTATTAATTTTCATGGAGGAATATACATGCAATTTAAAAAATTATATGGAAAAATCTAACAATACTACTAACTTTTTTTTTCTTTTTTTTTTTAATCTTTAAAAAGCAAGTCCTAAAATTTTCAAAAACAAATCTTATGACACAAATCTGTATATAGAAATATTCTTAAGATTAATTATATGGACACCCCTCAACCAATAAAATTAGACATTTGAATTAGTTTGATTTATAAAATTGCATCACTTTAGAAGATATTTGTATAATTTTTAGTAGTTTTTTTTTTTTAGTAGTTGAAAGGTCTAAATGTATAATTCCCAAATTAAGAGTTGTGGGGGCATATTTTGTGAATGACAGCACGTGGCCAAGGTGACGATGAAGTGTCAGCCGATGTGCTACGTGGCATAGTCCTGATGCCGAGGTGATCTCAGCTAGGCTGAGGTTATTTGCAGCGATACCGGAATCTGAGGTAAGCAGATAAGGGACAACAGTCCTAGAATAGGGGGGACCTCAGTTTGGATAAAAGTAAAGCTCTTAGGGAGTTTATCTCCATCTAGCTGGGAATTCAAGATGAGCATTGAGCCAAAGTCTATTAAAGCTAGGCTTCTACAGGGATCAGGTTATTGCTAGCTATAAAAATAAAGCACCTTTGTGGGTCTAAGGTATGCTTTTATATCCTGTCTAGTGAGTTAAGCATTATTGGTTATTTTTTAGAGATATTGATTACTGACTTGATCATCGGAGTGCCCCCAGGTGGATGAACCACCGCCGGATTCTTATCTTTCTGTGTCAAGGTGTTCGAGCTTAATCTATTCTACTGATGCTCTCTTGTTGAGTTTCCCTGTTTGGTTGTGTGGTCAAAAATCAACATCCACAATTTGGCACCGTCTATGGGAAAGTAAGGAGAATAGATGGGCAACGACGGGCAGAAAGAAAAGGTCGGGGACGACATCCCTAGTGGGAATGGCAAGCACACCGATTCTAATATGGAGGAGGAGACCTATAATGAAGGACTTCGGGATCAGAATCCTGGGGAAAAAGACGTCGGCCAAAAGGGAGACGCATCGAAGAAAGCATATCAAGGAGGGTATTATAACGAAAGTGACCTCCAGATATGGAAAGATAGATGCCTGAGGAGGGACGGCGAGATGAAGAGAATGGCAAACAAGTTGGCAGACTTACAATCGGTTGTCAACTTCATGATGTAGAACAATGTCATGTAGCCACCGTTTCCATTGAAGGACACGCCGATTCTGGCAGCCAAGAACGATGCCCAAAAAGAAGGGCAGAAAGTCGTCCCAGCAGTCCCTCAACATGACAAGGTAAAGGAATGCTCACATTGACCTTCACGAGATGCCGACCGAGCATGAAAGGAGAGTCTTAGAGGACGCCTTGTACCAAAGAAATGTATGTCAAGGAACATCGGCATGTTCAAGAGAAAAAAATTTGTTTTGACACGGTGAATGAAGAGAAGTCCAAGAGGACTCATAACGATGCCGGGAGCAGCGTACCAAAAAAGACTGAAATCCATTGACAGCCGAACTCCTAGTTAGACTAAGGAGGATTTGAGGGACTACCTCTAGAGGAAGCGATAGATTGCCGAGGTCACATCTCCGGTCAAGCTGAGAACACCATTCTCAATGGAGTTGGATAAGTTCGAGGGCCCAAAAAGGCTCCATATGCCGAGGTTCTAAATATACGACGATAAGTCCGATCCAAACTTTTACGCAGGCTTATATTTGAATTCAATGGCACTGTATACCGGGAACAAACCGTTGCTTTGCAAGGTGTTTCCTTTATCCTTTGGAAAAATTGCATCAGATTGGTTTCACAAGTTGTCGAAAAGAATTGTGAAAAGTTGGGAAGGCTTGGCCGAGATGTTTGTGGCCAGGTTTGTTACAAACAAATTGCAGCCGTTGAGGGTAGACTCCCTAATGGCTTTGAAAATTGGCGAGGGTGAAAGCCTCAGGGCTTATGCCAAAAGGTATTACGAGGTATTCAACCGAATACCAGGATGCAATCAGGAGTTAGCGGTCGTGTCTTTAAGAATAGCCTGGAGGATGACTGCATGCTGCGAAAGTCACTAGCAAAGACTCTGCCAAAGAGTATGGAGGAGCTTATGGCAAGGATCGAGAAATATGCCAAAGCAGAGGAGGATACACCGGGAGCAAAGGCGCTGAAGCAGGAAAAGAGAAATGGCTCGGAGAAGCGAGGCCGAGGTAATACTGGATTTAATAAACAAGAAACAGGACAAAGGGCTATGCATGCAGTCACCACAATGTTCCGAATCTCGGTTTTTAAAGTTCTAGAGAGGATCAAGAACCAGTCGCATTACAGAGCGTCGGAGAGGATCCTTAGCGAATTTATGGGGAGAAGCCTAGGAAAGCACTGTGATTACCATAATGAAGATGGACATCTGACATAGGGTTGTAGAGCCCTAAAAGCGCATTTGGAAGATCTGGTAAGACAAGGTCACTTAAGGGACCTAGTAGATGTGGCCAGAACAAGGGAAGAACAAGCAAGGCTACCCCAAGCACCGGCAGCACCACCTCCACCAGTGCCGCAACCGCAAGCAGACGGACCTCGAGTGATCAATGTGATTCACTCGATGGTCAATGAGAACGAGGTGTATGGAGAGACTCAGAAAGTGAAACACTTACAACATGTGTATCAGGTCCAACAAAAAAGGCCTAGGACAGACGAGCACCAGAGACCAATGGTATCCTTTACTGAAGCAGACCTAGACATGGGGCAACATTTACACAACGATGCCCTGGTAGTGACCCTCAAGATTGGCGAATGCCAGGTAAGGCGCATTCTAATTGACCAAGGAAGCTCTTGTGACATCATGTATGTTAGATGTTACAAGGAACTCAGCCTTCACCGAGATGATTTGAAGCAGTCCAACAGCCCGATGGTCGGGTTCAATGGAACGCCGACATGGCCCCTGTGAGCAATAAATTTGGAGATGCAAGTAGGCACCAAGAAAGTAAGCAAAGAGTTCACAGTAATTGACACCCCCTCTCCTTACAATGTTATCTTGGGAAGACCATGGTTGCACGCAGTAAGAGTTGTTCCCTCAGCACTGCACCAACTGTTGCGGTTCCCAATAGAGCATGAAATTGAGGAAATTAGAGGGGATCAGGTGCAGGTACAGAACTAC